TGGAAAAATTTGGATATTTAGATGATCAACATTGAGAAAATCATGACTGATAAGAATGGATTGAATAACAGGGGAAATTAAGCTTAAACAAAAATTACGAAAATAGGATGCATGGTGAACTAATGAGATGATGGTTATAAGAATAATGTAAGCTGATAAAAATGTTATACATAGATGTTATCATTATCTGTATAAATATGAGAAATGTCTATATTTAATCATTTATATATTGAAAATATTAAAAATTATATTTGTTTAAGGTTGAAGAAGAATACAAATGGGAGAAGGGAAGATCAAAGAAATATATTATTAATTAATATACTAATCATGGAATTATCAAATTTAATCATTATTGACTGTTAATTTATTATTATTATTTTTCCTCCCCTCAAATATATAAACCAAGACAACACACTGTACACCAGGCACTGGAGATTGTTATTGTTTAAAAAAACCAGAGACATGATCAAGATTATGTGAAGTGTTAATACCAATTTATAATGCCTTGGTAAGATCACACTTGGAATATTGCATCCAGTTTTGGTTGCTACAATATAAAAAAGATGCTGAGACTCTGGAAAAAGTGCAGAGAAGAGCAACAAAGATGATTAGGGGGCTGGAGGCTAAAACATGAAGAAAGATTACAGGAATTGGATATGTCTAGGATTAAAAGAAGGACTAGGAGTGACATGATAGCAGTGGTCCAATAATTGAGGGGCTGCCACAAAGAAGTGGGGGGGGTCAACCTATTTTCCAAAGCACCAGAAGGCAGGACATAAAGTAGTGGATGGAAACTAATCAAGGAGAGAACTAAGGAGAAATTTCCTGACAGAACAATTAACCAGTGTTGTAGGTGCTCCGTCACTAGTGTTTTTTAAGAAGAGCCATTTGTCCAGAATCATATAAGATCTCGTGCTTGTGCAGTTGGTTGAAGTAGGAGACCTCCAAGATGCCTTCTAACTCTTATTTTGTTATTCTGCCTATTGAATAATATAATGTTTCACATATTCGTTTCCATAATCAGTTTCAACAACATTTTATTAATGTTAGCAATAACATGTTTATTATAATTTCACAATACAATTACAAATTCTTTTTTTTACAGATTCAAATCCTTAACTTTTTTGTCTAGATTAAATATTTCCTTCAATTTTAAGTATGTAAGCTAGTGACAGACATGTCCTTCTGATTCCAACTCTTCTTTTTACCTGAGACTAGGTTCAACTTGATTAGAAATTTTTATATGATCATAAGTCCACCAGTCTGGTCTGAAAAAAGCTTCCTGATCTTGACCTGGTGGGGGATAATGCCTATGAACTGAAGGATAAGAAGTTCTGTGTATTGTCTTATATATGATGTGAATTTATATTATGTTATATTATGTAATGTTATATTACATTATATTACATTAATAGCTAATTTTGATTTACTTTACTGCTCCAAGAAAGAATAGCATATCATTCTGAGCATGATTTGCAATACAGGCTATACATATTGGGTCTCCATGCCCTTCAAATAATCATTTTCAAATAGAATCTGAAGTGCTGCAGGGCCCAATTTTTAAAATTATTCTTTATAGCACAAAGACCAGTATTGCTATGGAACTGAAAATTAATTTCAAATGTTACAACAGACTCATGATCTTATAAAATTTGGACTGAGAAAGGTATTACAAATTAACACAGAAACAATCCTTGTGAGCTATGGCATAGTTGTGTTAAATGTATGAGGTGGCCCAAAAAAAAATCATTTATAGGAAATCCTCGATTTATGACCGGTTGCTTAATGACCATTCAAACGTACGACTGGATCCATAGTTCTGATAATTAGCCTCCTTCCCTGTGGTCATGTGATTGTGTTTCATGATGGTTTTGCTGAAAATTGGCACCTCATGTTTTTGGCAAAACTGCCCTACCCCAAAATGGATTCGCTTAACAACCATGGCGTTTGCTTAACAACCACTGTCAAAAAATGGTGTAAAATCAGGTCAGTCACATAGCCAACCAGCTTTAGGACTGTTACAATTTATAATCATAATGGGCAGGCTCCAATTATTATTTGAGGACTACCTGTACTGCTATATTCTCATATATTCCCTGTCCAGCAATTAAGTTCAAAGAATGAAACCATGTAGTAAGAGCAAGCTAATTTTTAAATCTTTATTCAAATCCAATGTTTCCTTTTTTTTTACTGGGTTTAATTATAAATGTATCTTACTATTTTATTAAAAAAGACAGCCACACAAAATACAAGAAATACAGGAAAAGGAGGGCATAATAATGTTGAATCTCTTTTAAAGTGTGGTTCCCTGGATTGGATATTGTAATCCAAGTGTAGCATAACCAGTTATTATCATCTATGATATGAATGCAATGCTTCTGAAAATGCAGCCAAGATTTCACTGATCATTTTAGCTGCTGTATTGCAATGAATTGCTCATGTTCAACAGTGGCCTAATAGTATCCCTAGATCCTGATCATCTACTAGTACAAACCTTTTCAACCTTTTCACCCATTGTACCACTTTTAGGATGTGGCAATATCCGAGAACCACCAGTCCCCTAGCAAGGTGTCAAAAACTTGATGACCAAAAAAAGAAAAAAAAGAAAAAAGTGATAAAGTACAGGTAGTTCTCAACTTACAACAGTTCGCTTAGTGACTGTTCGAAGTTACAATGGCAATGAAAAAAGTGCCCCCCAAGCCACAGCCAAGCAAGACACCTGCCTGCCCACCCGGCGGCGCTCTTCCTCCTGTCCGAGGTTTTCATTGTTGTGAGCATTTCTGTTGAGGATTAGCAGTGGGGGTGGGGTGGGGGTTGTTTGGTTTTTATTCCCCCTGTCTGCTGGGTGGTTGCAGCAGGTTTTGGTCACTTTACATGACCCCGGGACACTGTGACCGTCATAAATATGAATCAGTTGCCAAGCATCTGAATGTAAATCACAAGACCCTGGAGATGCTGCAACATTCCAGCTGATCGGTGCTTCTTCTGGGCTCAGCAGAAGCGCCAGGATCAGTGCTGCTTTCCAGCTGATTGGTGCTTCTTCAGGGCTCAGCAGAAGCACCAGGATCAGCGCCGAGCTCCAGCTGGAACCTGGCGCTGATCCTGGCGCTTCCACTGAGCGCTGACAGCCTCGAAGAAGCGCCGATCAGCTGGAAAGCGGCACTGATCCTGGCGCTTCCGCTGAGTCCTGATAGCCCTGCAGCTCCAGCCATCTCTTGCTCAGGCTTGTGCAGTGCTGCCACCGGTTGAGCTCATTCCCCTCCCTCGCTACCACTTTTCTAGGATGGTCGCGTACCACCTGCCAGGTGCCAATGTACCACAGGTGGTACCTGTACCACTGGTTGAAAAGCCCTGTACTAGTATTCCTAAATTTGTTTTGTTGCCACAGGCCAAATCTTCCCAATCCTATATCTATGTATTAAACTTTTTCTAGCTGAATGAAAGTTCTTACATTTGTCATTTTTCAACATCAGCCTGTTGTATTTGGGCTATTTTGAAGCCTGTCAAGGTAATTTGAATTATGATTACCGTATTTTCCGGCGTATAAGACGACTTTCTAAACCCTGAAAATCTTCTCAAAAGTCGGGGGTCGTCTTATACGCCCAGTCGTCTTATATGCCGGAAAATACGGGTATTCTATTTTATTCCTTTACACATGTGGTTTGCCATATTACTCATCAAGTTTTCTCTCCCCCCCCCCCTCTCGCTCAAACTCTATATTTTAACTGGAAAAGTTGGGGGTCGTCTTATACGCCCAGTCGTCTTATACGCCGGAAAATACGGTAATTTCTAAAGTAATTAGCCAATCCCACTGGCTTAGTAGCATCTGAAAATGTAATAAGCTTTCCTTCCATTTTCTCCTCTAAGTGTCTTATTAAAATGTTTAATAGCATTGAGCTGAGAATAGAGTCCTGGAATACCCCATTTTATTTTTTCTCCCAGAATAATTTAAATCCATTTATGAACATTCTGTGGATGTATCTGTCAACCAACAAATCCATTTGACTGTACAAGTAGTCCTCAACGTACGACCACAATTGAGTTCAAAATTTCTGTTAAGTGAGTTTTGCCCCATTTTACAACCTTCCTTGCCACAATTGTTGTGAATCACTGCAGTTATTAAATTGGTAACATGGTTGTTGAATGAATCATACTTCCCCATTCATTTTGCTTGTCAGAAGGTCACAAAAGATGATCACATGATCCCAGGACATTGCAACAACATGCCAGTTGCCAAGAGTCCGAATTTTGAGCACGTTACCATGGGGGTCCTGAAAAATGGTCATAAATCAGTGCCATTGTAACTTCCAGTGCCTTTTTTTATTTCAAACAGTCACTAAATGAACCGTTGTAAGTCGAGGTACCATTTAACTGATATTTATCTTCTCCAAATATCACAAGAGATCTTATCAAATACTTTATTGCACGGGTGTCAAACTCATCACGTGTTGTGTCATGATGTATCATGACTTTATTTGCATTACTGGAGTTGGGGTAGGTGCGGCCTCTGTAGAATGCAACCGGCCCATGGGCCGGCAGTTTGACACCCCTGCCTTTTGCATCCATACTATTTCTCTTTCCTTTTGCAATATTGGGAGTCTGCTGTTGTTGGGGGTTGGGGTTTTTTTGGGGTTTTTTGGGGCACCTCACCAACCCTCCCAGAATTTTCAAAGATTATAGTAATTGCAAGATCACTTCTGCCAATTACTTCAGAATATTTTTATTTTATTATCTGGCAATGGGTGAAGGAAGGGACAAAGTCAGGAATGTGTTTATCATGATACCTAGAAATACTTCTGAGCTTTTGGAAGATGAATGTTTGGGTTTTCTGTGGCTTGAGATATTATTAAATTGGGAAATTGAACGTAGAATTGCATCAGTAATTCATCTCTGGGAATTTTTAAGTTTTATGATACCAAGTTTAGAAGACTTAGAATGTTTTTATACATAAGGACTTAAATTTTAAGGTGTTAATATTAGCATTTCTGTTTGTAAAATAGGTTGTCATGCTGGCTATGTATAATCTGTCTCTAGAAGGAATTGGTCGCCAAGGTTATTTCCGATGGAAAGAAGACATTTGTGCTTTTATTGAAAAACACTGGAGTTATCTACTAGGAAACAGGTAATTATTACAAATACATTGTATACAAGTAGTGTGATAATTTAAATACTCAATGTTGATGTGGAAAATAGTTTCAGTAATATTATTTTTAATTCTTGGGAGAGAAAAAGGACACAAGCTTCAGAACTTGCAAAGCATATAAAAAAACTTTGTAAAGCATAATCATAAAGTCATTCTTTTTTTTACAAATATGTTGTGTCAAGTAGTTGAAATGTTAACCAAATACGATTCAAGGAAATCTCTAGTATACCAACAATCCTAGTAAAATAAAATGCTCTGATATTTTCATAGTTATAAATCGCCTGCTTATACTGTAGTTGCTATACTTTCAATTATTGTAGCTTTCTTCAATATATGGTACATGAAATATCGGTGAATTGGCTTTCAATTCAGTGAACTTAGCATAGAATGGATTAATATTCTGCAACAGGAAATTGACATAATGTATTTATGCAAATTGTCACAGGACTACTGTCCAATTTAATCAGTTTGTTCATATTTGACACCTGTGTCCTAATTAGTTAATTAAACTAAGTGAGTTTATACTGCATTGTATTTTAAAAACCACAAAGCACATCCCATTATGGGTGAATGAATTTTTTTAAAACAGCAAAGCAATTTTTGGGTTGGAGAATCTATGTGGAGTATGGTGTTCACTTTTTTGTTTATTTAAAATATTAAATGATGAACTTTTATTATTTGAAAAATTGCAGTACAGGTGCCATTGATCAAAAGTGTTGAATAAAAGTATGTTGAGTTAAAATACGTTTTGATGTCTAGCTATGAATCAGCAATTAGAAATTTTCCAGAATTCCTTCTAGAGAATTAAACAATTTTTAATAAGCCTATAATAATAATTTAGGAGTAGTTGTTAAAATAAAAAAATGCAGGTGGTCGTCACTTAACATCTACCCTACTTAGAGATCATTCAAAGTTATGAAAGCATTGAAAAGGTAACTTTACAACTAGTACTTGTACTTATGATGGTCACAGTGTCCCATGGTCATATGATTGCCATTTGCACTCTTCTCAGCCAACTTCCAACAAGCAAAGTCAGTGGAACAGTAAAATTTTATTTCATGGCCATGTGATGTCTTGCTTAAAGACTGTGATTGATTTGCTTAATAACTGCAAAAGTAGGTTTGTGGCAGTCATGTGATATTTCACTTAACTGGATTAGTGACAGAATTGCACATTTCAATTGTGGCTGTTAAGTGAGAACTACCTCTAGATATTAAAAAGCACATAGAAACAGAAATAAGGATCTGGACATCCATTTTAGCATGTATATGTCATATTTTAATAGATTTAAAATTGGAAAGTTCAGGAAAATCTTTTTACTATCTTTTGGATTCCTGTGTGTTTTTTAAAGAAGAAATCGGTGAATTTATCTAATAATTGACATGTTAAAAATACTATGCTTTACCATAGGAGTTAACTTTACAGGCTAATTTTGATCTGAAGGACTCAATGCCAGATACTTATGAACTGGAGGACAACAAAAATAGCTATTACAGACTGACATTAGTTAATGATTGTAATTGGGATTAGAATTTCTGTTGTTATTCAGTGCAGTCATAAAGTGTGATCTCACATGACTGCATTGCTTAGTGATGGCAAACCCTGCAGTCCCTGCTGCTGTCATTAAGCAGGGAATGCTCACAATTTCTTGCTGGTTGCCAATAAGCCAAATCAATGGGGAAGCTGGCAGGAAATTGCAAGTCCAAGGCAGCCAGCCGCAAGCATGCTAGTGGACGGATAAGAGGCTGCTGCATTGCAATGTATGGCAGGACCAGGGGTAGCTGCTACCAGGTGAGGGAGGATGTGCAGGGGGCTGCCACTAGACGAGGATGTTATGAGCACACATGTACTATGGAGTACAAGATCTCTAGAATCTTGTACCTATTGTAGCCAGATTCCTTAGGAGAAAAAGCCGCAAGGGTGCAAGCAACTCACAAAAGCAACTTGCAAACTTCCTTTCACGCTTCCACATTGACTTTGTTGGAAGCCAGCAGGGGAGGTAGCAAATGGTTGCCAAGCACCCAGATTGCAGTCACGTGACTACAGGGATCCTGGGGCAATTGGAACTTTGAGGACCGGTTGTGAATACCACTTGTTTAGCACCATCATGACTTTGAATAGCCGTTGAATGAGTGGTTATTAAACAAGGATATTGAATAATGCTTGTAGTTTATAAAGCTTTATGTTATTAGATGTTGGTATAAATGTTATATTAAGATGTTATTTAAAAATCATAATGCTAAACTCCTTAATCCTTTCTAATTGTTTAGAAAGAAGACATCTACATGGTGGAGCACTGTTGCTGGTTGCCTTTCTGTGGGAAGCCCTCTGTATTTTCGCTCAGGGGCTCAGGAATTTGGAGAACCAGGATGGTGGAAACTTGTTCACAATAGGCCCCCTATAATGAAGCCTGAAGGAGAGAAACTTTCTGTGTCTTCCCTAAAAGCAAAAGGTAGGGCTCTATAAACTGCATATAAATCAGTGTATTTCAAGATTCAAGCTAAGCTTAGGTTCACAGGCATTTGGGGGAGTGGAAAGGGAATGTGTGCAAGCTTTGAAAATTTAATTGAGAGTAAATTTTATGTATCACAATATAAAGGTACAAAATACAGATAGTCCTCAACTTACAACAGTTCATTCAAAGTTATAATGGCACTGAAAAAAGTGACTTATGACTTTTTCACGCTTATGACCATTGCAGCATTCTTATGGTCATGTGATCAAAATTGAGATGCTTGGCAACTGGTTCATATTTATGACAGTTGCAGTGTCCCAGAATCATGTGATCACCTTTTGCAACTTTATACAAGCAAAGTCAGTGGGGAAGCCAGATTCACTTTACAGCTCTGTTACTAATTCAACAATTGCAATGACTCACTTAACAACTATGGCAAGAAAAAATGTAAAATTGGGCAACTTAACAATTGCCTTGCTTAGCAACAGAAATTTTGATCTCAATAGTGGTTGTAAGTTGAAGACTATCTATACAGAATAATAGGGTTGGAAGGGACCTTGGAGTCTTCTAGTCCAACCCTCCGCTCAGTCAGGAGACCCTATATCATTTGGGAAATGGTTGTCCAATCGCTTTTAAAAACTTCCAGTTATCTACAACTTCTGGAGGTAAGCCATTCCACTAATTAATTGTTCTGGCTGACAGGAAATTTCTCCTTAATAATTAATTAATAGTTGGATATCTGTCAGGTTCCCTTTTTCAGGTGCCCTGCCATTCTGGTAGAGAGGGGAGGAGGCCTCTTTGGGGAAGCATTCTTTGCATACTTTGCATACATAAGAATGCTGTAATGCTATAGCTGCTTGGGAATTAGGAAGGGGCATCATCTTTGGAGATGAGACAGACTTCTTCCCAGCCAGTTCCAGCCTGCTGCCAAGGTCGCTGTGCCTTAAAGATGAACCATTATCTGTCCTATGCTTCGATGTTCTCAAAACAACCTTGTGGCACTGTATTGGCTGTTGGTGAACTGGTCAGCGTAGTTGGATTTCAAAGTGGGAAGAATAGCTTGTTGCTTTGCGTGGGAATGTTAGATTCTGCTTGGCTTTACTGCAACCACTACCTCTCAGTAAAAGTTCTTTTGATTAAACACATGGAGTCAAGAGTCATGCTTTCCTGAGAGAGACAGCTGAGGCAGGTCCTTACATTAAGTGGAATCTGCAATAGTGGTCAACCCGGAGAGGCTTTTACTTCTACTGTTGGGACTGTGCAAGGAATATCAGCACAAGGCAGTGACCAAGAGGAAGTTGAGTGCTGGAGGGGAAGCCTCTGCCAAGGTGAACCCCACAGTGGATGTCTCTGAATGGACGGAGGAGGCTGCCAGCCTGGGAGATTCATCGAAAAGCTGCTCTTCCCAGCCCTGGCTCAAACCAATTAAGGCGGCCGCCCCCAAAACTGAGCTGGGGCGGTGATGCAAGGAAAGGATCTCCCTGTCATTCCCAAGAAATATCGAGACTTTCGAGATGTATTTAGCGAGAGGGGATAGGATGAACTCCCCCCTCACAGACCAACAGATTGTGCTATAGAGTTCTTGCCTGGCACCAAGTTGCCAAAACTGAAACTATATTCAATGACTCCTAGAGAGCTGAAGGAGCTCCGGCTGTTCATTGATAAAAAATTGGCTCGAGGTTTCATCCAGCCAGCACGATCTAGGGTCACGGCCCTAGTCTTATTCCAAGAAAGAAAAGATGAGACCCTTCGTCTATGTATGGACTATAGAGGGTTAAACGCTGTGTGCGTGGAAAAGTATACCCCCTCCCTCTGATGAAAGACATGCTGGCCCACCTCATTAAGGGCAAAATCTTCAATAAGCTGGACTTACGGGTAGCTTATTATCAAGTTAGAATCAGAGAGGGGGATGAGTGGAACATTGCTTTTAACTGCCCACTGTTTTCTTTCCAATTCAGGGTGCTCCCTTTTGGACTGCAAGGGCCCCCAGACGTTTTATGCAATTAATTAATGAGGGTGCTTGTGTTTTTGGTTGACATTTTAATCTATACTGAAATCAAAGCAGAGCAATGTGAAGCTTGTGAGGGCGGTCCTCCAAATGTGACAAGCCACCAAACTCTGTAAATGTGAATTTCACCAGAGTAAAATAGACTACCTAGGCCAGGGCTTTAGCACCTGGCAGGTGGTATGCATGTAGCAGGGGTGGGGAATGAGTTGAAGCGACGGCAGCACTGCACAAGCCAGAGGGAAAGACAGCTGGAGCTGCAGGGCTGTGGGACTCGGCAGAAACCACAGGATCAGTGCGCGGCTACAAGCTGATCGATGCTTCTACAGGGCTGTTGGGGCTCAGCAGAAGCCCCACCGGCCTCCAGCGGTTGCTCTTCCAGAAGTAGCACGTAGCTGGAGGTGCACCAAAGAGAAAAGGAGGACGGGGAGAGAGGAGGTTTTGGTGGGAAAGGGAGAGAAAAAAAAGTCAATTGGGGAGAAAGAGAAGGGGAGAGAAAAAGAGAGACAGAGAAGCACAGCCTTGAGGAGAAGAGTCAGCTGGAGGTGCACCAAAGAAAAAAGGAGGGGAGAGAAAGAGGAGAAGATATAAAAAAAAGTGGTTTTGGCGGGAGAGGGGAAAAAACAACAGGGAAAGAGAAGGGGAGGAAGAAGAAACTGTGGAAGGAGAGCCCAGCAGGCAAGGAGTAGAGAGGAGACAGGATAGAAGAAGCTGTGGAAGGAGAGCACAGCAGGCAGGGAGGAAAAAGAGAGAGAAAGAAGGGCCGACCAGCCGGCTGACCACCAAAGTAATGGTGCATATTAATAAATATGGCTAAATCATCATACAAATGAACTGCTACCGAAGAAATTAAAACCAGTACTTTTTTCCTTTTTTTAATGGTTTGTAACATTTTATTAGATTATAGAATAAAATGCAAAAATACAAAAGCAAATAGTAGGACACAGTGGGGAGGAAAAAGAGGGGGAAAGTGAGGGGGAGAAGGGAAAAAGAACATACTTCCTCTGTTGCAGTAGAAGGAAGCATTAACATTGAACCTCAACTTTTTACTTTTCCATAATAGTATAAACTAGCCATTTCTATAACAACAAATGAATCTAATTAGTAAAACCCAAAATCTCTCCCTTTTTTTAGTCATCAAGTTTTTGACACCTTGCTAAGCACTGGTGGTATTCGAATATTGTCATGTCCTAAAAATGGTATAATCCAGTGGTGGCGAACCTATGGCATGCGTGCCACAGGTGGCACTCAGAGCTCTCTCTGTGGGCACACACGCCATGCCCCAGAAATGGCAACTGTCCCTCTTCAACCAGCCGCCTGCTAACTCGCTGAGATCTCACGTGGCTGGGGTCCCATCCTGGCACGGCTGGTTTCCTTCCCCCCCGTCCCATCCCTCCTGGCCTCACATGTTCTCCTTTTCCTGGGCACAACCCACTGCATCGCCTCCTCATTGCCGTCCAGCTCAGAGGTGGCTTCTCTGAACTGCTGGCGGTGGGCTGTGGAGCCCCAGAGTGCATCGGTCGAGGGGCCGTCAGGCTGTGGCTGCTGACGGATACTGTCAACCCCCATGCGCTCGCTGGCCTCTGTGTGCGGGGGCCGATGGTTTCAGGCAGCAACCGCCCCTGCCTTGCCTTGCCCTGCGACAATGGCACCCCCGCCTTGCCTCGCCTTGCCTTGCCTCACCCCGCAGGACGAGCCTCCTACCCACCGTCCCACCTGCCAGAGATCCCAACCCTGCCTGGCCCCCACAGGCATCCCTCCCATTGAGCAACATCGAGGTGACCACGCCCACCTTGGCCACACCCACCCAGTCTGCCATGACCACCACAGCCACGCCCACCTAGTTGGCCACGCCCACCTGGCATCCGGCGATAAGTGGATTTTGGGTTGCAGTTTGGGCACTCGGTCTCTAAAAGGTTTGCCATCACTGGTATAATCTGTGAAAAGGTTGAAAAGCCCTGACCGTATTTTGCATGAGGGGGGGATCAAAATGGATCTGGAGAAAGAACAGTGCTGGACTGGCACTAGGAAGCAAAGTTTCCTAGGATTTGCTAACTTTTATCGGCAATTCATCCCCTCGTTTGCTCAAATAGCCCTCCCCATTATAAACTTAATTTGTCCATGGAATGCCAAGCCGCTTTTGAGAAACTTAAGCACTTGTTTGCTGCCAAACTGGTCTTAAAACACCCTGACCCAATGAAACCATTTGTTATACAAGCTGACGCTAGTGAGATGTGGCTGTGGCAGTTGTTTTACTGCAGGAAAATGAAAGCTGACAGCTACACCCTGTGCCTACACCTCCAAAAAACTTTCGGAAATGGAACTATGATGGGAAGTGTAGGAGAAAGAGGTTAAGCTGTGAGATGGGCGCTACTTGTACGGAGGCATTTCTTATAGGGGAGTAAAATATCTTTCGAAGTGCAGACTGATCACAAGAATTTAGAGGCACTAAACACAGCTTGCAAGCTCTCTCCTAAGCAAGCACAGTCGGCACAATATTTTAACCGCTTTAACTTCACCCTGCGCTATTTCCCTGGGGGAACGTATTTCCTGGCAGACGCCCTGTCATGGATGCCACAATATAATTGCTCCAAACCCGAAATAATTCAGCCAGTGCTTCTGTTCCATCAATTGGCTTCTCAAGTGACTACCTGGGCTCAAGAAAGAGAAAAATACTGAAAGATGTGAGGTCTGCCTTAAAAGCAGCCCTGAAAGATGACAAGTGGTTCCAAACACACAGCAGTGTTTGTTTGATTTGAGATGGACTAGCCTGGGTGGGGGTGAAACTTTATGCTCCAGAGAGCCAGAAACTCATAGTGTTAAGAACCTACCATGACTCAAAGACAGCACGTCATTTTGAGTTCATCAAAACGCTGCATCTAGTCAAGAGGCAATTTTGGTGGCCATCCCTTAAAAAAGACATTGAAAGCTATGTTGCCAGCTGTCCAGTGTATGCATTGGCAAAATGCAGGCAAGGGAAAACGCCAGGACTCCTTCAAACTGTCGTTGAGCCATCAGCACCTTGGAGAGAGATCTTGATGGACTTTATTGTTGAAGTTCCTGAAAGTGTGGGAAATACTGTAATTTGGATGGTGACTGATTTATTCTCCAAGCAAGTACATTTTATCCCTTGCCAAAAAATCCCTTCTGCCTTGCAAAACTATTCTTGCATCACATTTATCGATTACATGGAGCACCTCAACAGATTATCTCAGATGGGGGGGTGCAGTTCACGTCTAAATTCTGGAGAGCTTTTTTGGACTTGGGGACTGACCAGGGGCTTAGTTCTAGTCACCACCCCCAAACAAATGGGGGTTGCATATGAAGAGTCTCAGTGTTGGAACAGTACCTTAGATGTTTTATAAATTATCAACAGGACAATTGGACTGATGTTTTACCATTTGCAAATGTGGTGTACAATAACTCTGTACACAGCAGCACCAGTTTCAGTCCTTCCCGAGTGGCTACTGGTCAAGACTTTAAGCCTATTCCTCAGCTTCCTACTGATGACCTGGGAGTGCCATCCTTGAAGGAATGGGTCTCTCAACTGCAAAACACCTGGCCCATTGTGTGAAAAGTGCTAGTAGAGGCTCGTAATTCATATAAAGCACAAGCCGATAAAAAAGAGCTGAGCCAAAACCTTTTAAACTGGGAGACCGTGTTTACCTATCCACCTGTTACTTGCAGTCACTTTTAACTAAAGTGACTGCAAAAAATTGGAACCTAAATTTGTGGGGTCTTTTCCCATAAAACGCCTTATTAATCCCATAATGGTGGAATTAAAATTGCCAAAGTCCCTATGACGTGTTCATTCCGTTTTTCATTGTAGTTTTTTGAAACCTGAGGTTTCCTCACCCTTTAGACCAGTTCCTCCTCCTATTCCCCAGCCTGTAATGATAGAGGGGAACACCATTTTGAAGTGAAGAAAATTTTGGATTCTCAACGGCAGAGGGGCAATCTTCAGTATTTAGTAGCTAGGAGGGATTTTCTTTCTGGGCAAAATGAGTGGGTGGATTCTAGACATGTTAGAGTCCCTAGATTAGTGAAACATTTTCATTATCAATTTCCTGATAAACCTAAGTGATTGTTTTAATTTTGTCTTTTGTTCTCCCCTTTTTCAGCAGGTTTAATTCCTCTCTTTTGGGGGGGCAGCATGTCGGGTCCCCTTTTTCAGGTGCCGTGCCATTTTTGTGGAGGGGGAGGAGGCCTCTGAGGAAGCATTCTTTGCATACTTTCGCTTTTGCTGTAACACTGAAGCTGCTTGGGAATTAGGGAGGGGGATCATCTTTGGAGATGAGACAGACGTCTTCCCAGCCAGTTCCAGCCTGCTGCCAAGGTCGCTGTGCCTTAAAGATGAACCATTATCTGTCCAATGCTAAAACAACCTTGTGGCATTGTATTGGCTGCCGGTGAACTGGTCAGGGGATTTGTATTTCAAAGTGGGAAGAACAGCTTGTTGCTTTGCGCAGGAATGTTAGATTCTGCTTGGCTTTACTGCAACCACTATCTCTCAGTAAAAATTCTTTTGATTAAACACATGGAGTCAAGAGTCATGCTTTCCTGAGAGGGACAGCTGGGGCAGGTCCTTACAATATCTCTGATAAACTTCCATCTATTACTTTTGTTTTACCCTCAGGTGCTTTGGTGGTCAACCCCCTATTCTCTGTGACAGCCCCTCGAATATTGAAATACTGCTATCATGTCACTCCAGTCCTTCTTTTCGTTAGACTAGACCGATATAATTCCAGAGATAATGCCACCTCAGGCCCTTTTTCATGGTAGAAGCTATTTTTAAGTTTCCTTATCTGTTCATTCTTACTAGATTCTAGATTCCTGCAAATGTTCTTGTATCTTCTGTCTGCACCAGTGAATTAATTTTATCTTTATTTTCATATAGGAACAATTAAAAATATAGTGCAATCCTAAAATAGATTTAGTGCAGTTGACCATATAAGAAAAAATCCAGGAACGGCCAACCTCATTGATATACCTGTTCTCATTCATTTTGCACCATCACTAAACCATTCTTTTTTTGGTTCTCTTCCACACATTATTAAATATCAGCCTCTCAATCAACAGAATATTGCTCACTTTGATTTAAAGTACGCAAGCATGTACGCCTGTAAACGTGCTCTGATTTTTTTAATGCTTGTAATGTAATCAGCATTGTAATACTGTTATTATGGTTATAGAAACTCACTGCTTGTTTTCCAACAGGTTCAAAACTGTCTATAGATCCAATCATTACAGTCGAGGGGCTTAGAAAGCGAGTGAGCCGCAATCCAGTAGAATCTGCTATGGAGCTGAAGGAAAAACGGTCTCGCACTCAAGAAGCCAAAGAAATCAGGAGGGCTCAGAAAGAAGCAGCTGGCTTCTTGGACAGGAGTACATCCTCTACACCAATCAAATTCACCAGTCGAAACAGGCATTCAGACATTATGCTTGAAAAGGGGGAGGTGATTGACTTTTCCTCCCTCAGTTCTTCCGATCAAACACCTTTGACTAGCCCATCTCCTTCTCCCTCTCTGGATTTTTCTGCTCCTGGAACTCCAGCGTCACATTCAGCTACACCTAGCCTGCTTTCAGAAGCTGATCTTATTCCAGATATAATGCCACCCCAGGCTCTTTTTCATGGTAAAAGCAATTTTTAAGTTTCCTTATCTGTTCATTCTTGCTAGATTCATTTGCACAAACATATTTTGGCTGTAGTTGTACTATTGAGATGTGTAATGTTTGTTAAGAATGTGTAGGACAAAGAATATATAATTTTCATGATTGCAGCACTTGAGAAAATGAAACAGTGTATCTAAACACTTAATATGTAGCATAACAAATATTAATTCATTTTTTCCTTTTTTATTAAGACACAAAAATAAAACGGTTAATATGCAAAAGGAAACATTGAAACATTTTTAAAAGCCCACAATTTGGGCTTATCTAAATAGGTTGATAATCTTAAGAAAAATTTAAAGACGTTAAACATATGATAATTATACTTTGCCCAGAAATACATTCATATAGACAGAAGTGTAATTTTTTATTATTATAATTATTAAATTTATTTGCCGCTGATCTCATTTTGAAGGAAATCTGGGCAGTAATAATATTAACAATAAGTGGTTTGACAGAGCTTCAAAGTTCAGCATATATATTTGATTAGTATTTTTAAAACATTCTATCATAAAAGAAAAGAAAAATGATATGTGATGATAATTTTTATTGGGTGTGCACTATGTACACTTTCTCTAAGTTGAGATATGGAAAATGGAGCCATTTTTAAATGGCTGTTTTGAATGTTCTGAACTCAGAATAATACATAGAAGTGTTCTAATTGTTCTGGACACTATATTTGGACTTTTCTTTTGAGGCTTGGAACTGAATTTGCCAGTACACCAGCAAGGATTAGAAATGACATTTCTGCTATTATCTGGATGGAGTGAATTTAGGAGTGAAGTGCTGGGCAAAACAGCAGGCATTAAAGTGTCACAAGACTCAATAAAGAGCCATTCTGAATCTAGATGTTGCTACTGGAGGACTATCTTCAGTCTTGGTGGAATTTTACTGCTGAGTATATCTGCCTGGCTGTCTTAATTTTGATAGAGCTTTTAAAAAATGTGCTCTAGGTTCTACTTAATTTTAAAACATGTAGTGCATACTAGCAGAAGGGCATGAAGGAAGAATTCACCTTCTTTCTGAGCAACCAGTGGTAAAATCTGAATGAACCTGGCAATGGCCGCCTGGTGGTTTCTTGCCTACCAAGCAAGAATTTTATGGGAAGTGATGTGGTAACACTTCATAGCTCATATCTGGGCTGTTACTTGATGGAGTAAATCTTAAAACAAGACATTTCTCAATGGACTTTTCTGTCCTTCCTCAGATAAGCCCTTTACTTTACAATCCTAAATATTTTCAGTCTCCAAATCAATGTCTGGATTAAGCTCGAGGTGAAGCTGGTACCATTTCATTTATGTACTTGTTCATATTGCCTGAGTGGTATACATTATATGAAGACACTTGTGACTCTGTGTAATTCTTCAGTCTCTGCAACACCACAGAATGATTCTTATGCTGTATGGAGAATTACTTGACTGACCAAGTATTTTGCCAGTCGTGTCAATTATCATTGGAGTGACTTGCCCCGTGCACCGTACTAGAATAGCATACACCAAGGTTACTAATATTAATAATGTTTGTTGAATCATCTCTGGTATTAAACTATCTGAACTGAAATGAGATTTAGACACCATCATCTCACCCATCCAAGGGGACAGAGCATAATTAACTACTGTAATGCTCTCTACATGGGGCTCCCTCTGAGGAGCACCCGGAGACTCCAACTGGTCCAGAATGCGGCCGCGCGGGCGGTGTTGGGAGGGACTCGTCGCTCCCATGTAACACCGCTGCTGCGCGAGCTGCACTGGTTACCAGTGGTCTTCCGGGTGCGCTTTAAGGTGTTAGTTACCACCTTTAAAGCGATCC